GACGTAAAGACGTAGAGACGTAAAGACGTAGAGACGTAAAGACGTAGAGACGTAAAGACGTAGAGACGTAAAGACGTAGAGACGTAAAGACGTAGAGACGTAAAGACGTAGAGACGTAAAGACGTAACGGAACGAAGTAAAAGCGTAAAGACGTAAAGACGTAGAGACGTAGAGACGTAAAGACGTAACGGAACGAAGTAAAAGCGTAAAGACGTAAAGCCGTTACGTCTTAACGGATCGGACAGGCCTCAGAAGATGATTGATCCTTTACATAAGTGATAGCATTTTTGCCCAATTAACAAAGTAAATTATTCTAGCCTTGAAATCAACTTTTGATTCCGGTCATGCAGCACAACGTGAAGACGAGAATGAAACTTGTGAACTTCACGGGAGGCTACTACTACTTATCCTGTTTCGATTTTCTGATAATTTCTAATTTCCTCTTAATTGTTTAGATGTATCACGGAATCAAGACAAAATTTCTTATGAATTAGCAACTACACATAATGCGGTAATAATCTATCCAGAGAATTCTCTCGTGTGAAGAAGTGTTTCAGCTGGCACATAGCATTAGCTTATCATTTTCAGAAGATGAACACCGTTTTGTACTTCATGTTCGATTCGAACAGAAAACACAATACAAAACGGATCAAAGTCGATTACAAAGACCTTCTGATCGTTTGATACAACCTCTACCTTTATCACTTGACAATTCGTAAGTTTTTTCTTAGTGGGCGCATAAAGAGATTAGCTTTGTTTGATTTTTAGAAAAAGAAAAAAGAACCAAAAGCAAACTAAATCGAAAGCATGCGCTATTTACATTCAAGCGATAAAACCTCCTCATCGCAAGCGTGGCATTTATCCTAAACTACAGGTATCATCGCATTACAGGGAGCAGTCCGTCAGAGACAAGTATCCGCATTTATGTTCCCATTATAGGTTCCCAATCGATATGCTACGTATATTGAAAACTGTGAATCAGTAAAAGTTCACGTTGCAGCTGTTATTAAATTGGTCAATCGAAAGATTTGTTTAAACCCTATGAAAGGTTTTTTGATTAGAATCGACACACCACTCGTAAACCCAACGGAAATTATTTTAACAGCTGACAATGTCGACACAAATATATATGAGTAAGTAAATAAATTGAGAACGAACTGTATACTTGTAACTTTTTCTCTCGTTAATGTTCAGAATAAAATTGAAACTGTTAAACATAGCTGGTGCTCTACATAAAACTGGCTGGCCTTATAGAGTGTTTGATGAAAATTTCGATTTTGATAACCGAAGTGTTATAGAAAAAGACGATCAAGGTATGCACAAAAAAGTTAAACGCATAAGTAGGTTTCTCTAAAGATTTGGTAATACCTTCGCTGGCTACCAAGGTCGGATTTCAGAAAGCCTGAAAAATCATGATAAATAGGCCTCCGATGCCAAAGTAACTTGAAAGATTCTTCAACATCCCACGGACTTTTGCAACAGGAGAACCATAAATTGTCTGTTTTTTCTTGTTTAGAAGCAGCGCCAACAACTGGTATCTCCCCGGTGGATGAAGAGCTCAAACATTTTTATTTGGCCTGCGTACTTAGTCGTCAAGGAAAAGTTGATTGGAGCACATTATGTTTCTCAAGACGAATGATAAGCAGCACGTTGAGACACCACCACCAAATGAAATCTTGATTTGAATATTTTTTGTTTTTTCTCTTAGTTATATATAGTAAAAAACATTCTCGCCTCGTTCCAAATGAACACGCACAAAGCGCTCATAACGATGAGACAGGTAAGGTTCTTCAAAACATGCAATTAACAGCGAAAGGATAGTCTCAACTTTTTTTCCCATTATTATGAGCGTACGTCTTCTATATATCCAAGTTTAACTTGTTAGTTCGAAAGAATTTCCTTAAACTTGTTTTCTTTCAAATGATTTAATGTTTAGATTCCGAACCACCAAGTCCATGTAGTCCAAATCCAAAACGAACCAAAGTATGAATGCGAGTTCTACTTTCTTAATTATCAAATCGATTCTTTTTTTATACAGGATGGCTCCAAAGACACACTTGACGATTTATTAGAATGATAAATGTGTAGAAAATGGACAACTACGAAACATTCTACCTGTTTCAAGAAACATTAAGATTAGCTCAAAAGTCGTTTTTTATTCTTTTTTTCTTCAGCATTTTCTAGACACCATGAAACTTTAACACACATTTAAAGATGGAAGTCTTTCAAAATTGTGTATAATCGCCTCTGCTCTTTCTCTCCCGTTCTAGCCTATGCGTTTCTCTCTTCTGAGGATAGACGAGTGATGGAAGAGGACTGAAGTACCCCGGTCAAGTAATTCTACTACTACAAGATCCTAGAGGATCTTACAGATAATAGGATTTCATAGGATTCCGATTGGAGAGTCCTGTGAAATCCTACGGCAGGAATTTCATAGGATTCTTAATATAGGACGGTAGCAAAAATTCTGTAGAATTCCCATGATAGGAATCTTATGCATTTTTCACAAAATGCTACGGTAAGATTTTGTAGGATTCATATTTTTTCGTCCTATATATATTTTCTTTTCTTTTTCTATACGAGAAGACAATCACCGACGTGTTTTGCAGTGACTCTAATATAAACTCAATTCTGCTGTATTGCAGAAAATGAAAAATTCTCTTAATGTCAAACTTTCACACCCAACACTGTGAGCCATCGAAACTCGCTACGGTGTGAGGTGTGAGTCAGTACTCACATGCTTTAGGCTTATCCCAGCTCAGAATCATCTGATTCTGACTAGCTGGGATCAGAGAATAATCAAACAAATAAAAACAGTAAACCTAGTAGGATAAAATCCTACTGCAATCCTATAATAGAATTCTCTAGGATCTTACAAGATCTGACTACAGGATCCTATAAGAATCTTATAATAGGATTTTTACTTTGAGGTTTTCCTGCAAAGTCCTACAGGATTTTCGTAAGAACTTACAGGATCCTACAGGATTCTAAAGTAGGATCATGTAAGAATATTGAACGATCCTACGGTAGGATTGTTTGACCTGGGTATGTAGGCTAAATTTCTATTACGTGTATATGACTAGCACAAGTAACCAACCTGTGGAGAAAGATTATCAGGAGTAATGCATTTAATGAATATGTTTTTATCACTTTTTACGTATTCTTCAAAGTTTAGAAAGAAAGTTTTGAGAAAACATTAGTTATAGTCTTCGGTTCATACCTGAATTTTTTTTCCAAAAGAAATGGAGAGCTTAACACCATTAATACATAAAAGTAAAATTTTTTATCGATTGATGCCCTTTAATCATATAGGGAATTTGTTTCTCTCATATGAAAATCAAATTATGTAGAATCGACGTCTTTTCCCCCTGTGTTTCAAGGTTTTTCGTTCCTTCTCAAGGTAAAAAAGCATTTTTTCGATTCCATCTGAAGAGTTGTTTGCACATATCAGTTAATTATGTTTCACACTTTACCCTCGAAAATAATCCAAATATACATAATTCAGAAAAAACAAACTGATGCCTTGTTTCAGACCATCTCCTAGCTGTGTATGTGATTACTAATGTTCTTTGTTTGACTAAAAATATTGTATGATTTATTAAGATAAAAGCCATTGACTCTTTTGTTAAGGAGGCTGATTTTGCTATTTTTGAACGTCTTTCTAGTTTAATAAACACATACAATAATGTTAGCAAATTTCCATCGAATAATAGTACTTCGGCGATATCGTTTCGTATAAGCTTTATTCTGTCAGAATACAAGCGGAAAAATATTCCATTATAGTGTGCTAAACTGGAACTATCGAAAAACATATAATCAATTTTTGTGCGAATAGAGATTCGAACACATTAACTTAGCTTTGCAGTAAACTACAAAACTAAATTCACTGTTATGTGCCTATATTCTGTACAACGATTGAAGTTATGCAATCGACTCGATGTTATCAGGAGTCTTTTCTTTTTGGAATGCTTTTTTATGTTCGGTTGAACGCAAACCATCGAATTTCACCAGTCCTTTTGGCATATTTGCCTATTCAACGAGCTATGTCTATGTCGCTGTTGAACGGCAAAGTGTCGTACTCAAATATTCATCGATGGACGGTAATCCTGTGATAGTGACCGGTACGTACGGTTCGAAAGTTTCACTTAGAATCAACTACGTAATCCAAATGGAATATTTGTCGATGATGACAGGACCGTTTTTATTGCTGGTCAGGACAATCATCGTATTCAGAAATGGTTGCCAAACGCAACCAACGGTACAACGGTGGCTGGAATTTCAAACACTTCAGGTAGCGATTCTCAACATTTAAAAACTCCGTATTATGTCTGGCTTGATAAAAACAACAACATGATTATTCTTGATAATGGTAATGCACGCATTCTTAAACAGTCACAAGGATTGACGAATGAAACCACAATGCTCTATCACGACAACACAACTTGGACTCCTTGGATGATTTTTGACAACTATTATTTATATTTACACGAGTGATTTTCACAATGACTGTATTCGTCGATACATTTCTAGTAATAACTATGCTACAGTATCATGTATCATTAAACCCACCCCATCAATTCAACGAAGAGTGATTAAAATGGACAACATGTGCAATATATTCGTTGCTGATTGGGCTCAGAGTGCTGTACTGAAATACCCACTATTATCTTCAAATAATGTCTGTCGTAAAAACGGTTAGAAAAATTTAACGGACTTAGGTCAACTAAAATCGACCTAGATGAGTTTTAACGATTTATCAACATACAAAGCCCATGCATTATAGCGTCTTAATTTCTAATGACTTTCTATGACCCTTTAAATATGGAGAAAAGAAGTTCCATTAGTAGTTTATCAGTCGTATAGTATCGTCGAGATCGGATGGTTTTAGAGTTGGAAGTCTGTTAAAGTCTTCAAAAGCCTTTAAAGTCCACGTAAATACGTCTATATCCATGTAAGTCATTAAAAGTCTCTATGAAATTTACGTGAACTTTAAAAGCGTTTAAAGACTTCCGAAAAATACACGGGCTTTTAGTGACTTATGGAGATTTTCATGAACTTTGAAAGCCCATAATTGGGTTTAAGTCTGCTTTTTCCCCTGTGTTTCAAGGTTTTTCGTTCCTTCTCAAGGTAAAAAAGCATTTTTTCGATTCCATCTGAAGAGTTGTTTGCACATATCAGTTAATTATGTTTCACACT